TTGCCGTGTCCGTCGGCGGGAAGCCCAAAGATGAAGTCAAGACTCATCGACTTCCAACAATCAGCCGGTACGGGCAGGCTCTGTAGTGGAGCCGAAGAGTGCCCTGCGGGTTTAACCCGCTGACATGTTTCACATGTCTTGACGTACCGGGCGACCCACTTGTACATGTGGGTCCACCAGAAGGACTGAGAGACCGACAGAAAGGTCTTCTCGCGGCCCAAGTGGCCGCTGGAGGGCGCGTCATGCGCCTCCGCGAGGATGTCGAACTTCAGATCCTCGTCGTTGGGTACGACCACCCGTGGAGGATCAGTGGGCTCCACCCGATAATAGAGGAGGCCCTCCTTCAACTCATATCGGTGGAGCCGTGAGCGCTGTCGCGACGAGAGCCAGTCGGACTTCGCGCTCGTTCCGGCCTTAAGGAACTTGACGATAGGCGCGACAGCCTCATCGTCCCGATACGCCATGCGTATCCGATCATATAGATCCGTTGTCACCCGCGTGATGTGGGCCAACTCATAGTCGGGACGCCTAGAGAGGGCGTCCGCAAGCACGTTGAGCTTGCCCGGCTTGTACTCGACGCGGAAGTTATATTCCGCGAAGAAGGACAGCCACCTCGCCATCCGTTGGGAGAGGTGAGGCGAGTTAGTCGCCGTCCTCAAGGACGCGTGGTCTGTGTAGATCACAAAGGGCGTAGAGCCCAGAAGGTGAACACGGAACTTCACAAGGGCATATTTCATTGCCAGGAGCTCCTTGTCATGGACAGGGTAGTTCCGCTCGGCGGCTTTGAGCTGCCTGGACTGGAATGAGATGACTCGTTCCTGTCCAGCCGTGTCGTCCTGCAGCAATGCACACCCGATGGCGTAATCGGAGGCATCGCAGACGACGCTAAACGGCTTCGTCTCGTCCGGCAGAGCCAGGACAGGGGCCTCTTGGAGACTGGCCTTGATGCTGTCAAAAGCATCCTGGTGCTCTTGCTCCCAGCGCCAGTCGACGTCCTTCTGAAGGAGGCTCGACAAAGGCTTAGCGAAGCCCGCGTACCCAGCGCTGTACTTGTGAAGGTAGTTGGCCAAACCCAACCACTTTCGAAGATCCTTCTGGGATCGGGGCGTCGGCCATGCTGCTATGGCCTTGACCTTGTCTGGGTCAGCCCGAACGCCCACGTTGCTTACGAAGCAACCGAGAACTTTGATCTCTGGTGACGCGAAAACGCACTTGTCGATGTTGGCGTAGAGCTTGTTCGCTCGCATCACGTCCAACACTCGACGGAGGTGTCCTAGATGCACCTCCATGGCCGTCTTGCCTCCCTCGGCACGGCTATGGACGAAAATGTCGTCGAAGTACGTCTGTACGAAGGTACGCAAAGGGCGGAACAATTGCGTCACCAGGCGATTGAACGTCGCCGGGGCGTTAGACAAGCCCTGCGGCATGACGAGCCACTCCCAAAGCATGCCGCTTGGAGTGCTTACCGCGGTGAGCGGGATGTCACTCTCTCGCATCAGGATTTGGTAGTATCCGTCTACCAAATCCAGCGCACTGTACAGTACGCTCCCGGCCATGTTGTTCAACAACACATCCTTTCGTGGGATCGGTGTTTGGGCCGGCACCGTTGCGTTGTTCAGCTTGTTATAAGCGTGAACCAGACGCCACTTTCCGTTCGGCTTACGAACGCAGAAAGTCGGCGTCGAGTGCGGGGATTTCGACTCCCGCACCATGCCTGCCTTCGCTTTCGCGGCGAAGAAGGCATCAATGACCTCGCACTGTTCGCGCGGGAGAGGCCATTGCCTCGTGACACAATACTTTGTGCCGGGCACGAGATCAATCTCGTGCCGTACGCCTCGATCCGGTGGGAGTTGGGTCGGTGGGTGTTTATTCACCACGTCCGCATACTCCGTCACCAAAGGATACACCGGATCCTTGGGGTTCTTGAGAATCTCAGAACCCAAGCGCGCCTGACGCTGCTTGTTCATGTCTTCCAGGACGTTCTCGTCCAAGACAGAGGAGGAGTTCAGCTCCTCCTGAGTGGTCTCAGGTCTTATGAGTACCATCTCAGCGATCTCTCCAGCCTTGAGGTTGGCCAGGAAAGACTCAGCCGTCATTTCCTCGAGGTTCAGTATCTCTGCAACCTCTGGCAACTGTTCCAAGTGGACACCAGATGCCTTGACGGGTAAACCCGTCTCGCTATCGAAGATGTGATAGCACTCTTCCACCGGCCTTGTCGGAGGAGCCCGGGCCCTGGGCTCCGAGTCGCTTGAAGCGACGTCGATCGGAACGAAGTTCGGATCCGACTTGAGGCGGCGGCGGCGTCTTTGCCGACGGCTTTTGTGACGGGGAGCTTTGCTGCCCACGTCTAGGGATGTCGTCGCTACGACATCCGAGGCACTCGTGGCCTCGTGTGGTACTGTTGTACCCACACAGGAAGCGTGTTCAACGCCTTCCTCTTCAGTTAAGGTCTGGGCGACCGCGTGTGGCACTGTGTTACCCACACAGGAAGCGTATCCGACGTCTTCCTCTTCAGTTATGGTCTGGGCGACCGTGAGTGGAACTCTGTTACCCACTCTGAACACGCTGTTCTCAGTGTTCATGACAGCTGCAGCTGTCTGCGGAACTAAGTTACCCGCCTGTGGACCTAAGTTACCCACTTGGCCGGCGCCTCTTCTGGGCGCGGCCACCATCAAAACATCCTCGGAGTCGTCATATACGTCGACGACTCCCAAGCATCTGCCGGATGCTTTGGTACCCTGGCAGCCCTCGCGGGCGCCCCGGGTCCTGACAGAGGTGGGAACATGACTCACCAATGCTCTGTCGGACTGCACAGGGCGGCTGGCACCGATTGCCTTGCCTCGCCAGTCGATCCAGGGCTCGTGCTTCTCAAGCCAGGGCATGCCCAGGATCATATCATATGGATCCATATCGAGAACAGTGAACTGTTCGAGGCTGTCAAAGTCTTCAAACTTGACAGCCAGATCCACTTGGACGTTGGGGACAGTGACGACCTTCCCGTCGGCCAGTCGCACTGACACCGTCCCGTTGCCCTTGCTTTCTCGCAAAGCTTCGGACAACTTGTTGCTGTTACGAGCAACCGTCTGGCGGCGTGCGAAATTCTTCGACGCCCCAGAGTCAATCAAGATTCTAAAGGGGTGATCGTACCCCCGTACACATCCGTGTACTACGAGCAACCCGCCGCTGCTCTTCGCCGATTCGAGAGTGCGAAGACTCTCAGGGGCTAAGTCCCCGTGGTACACGCCACCCGCGCACCCATCACGAAGACTTAGTTCTTCCCCAGTAGGGCGCCCCGCCCCTACTGGTTCCCTGCGTTCCCCTGTCCCCGGGATCCTGGCTTCTGCCAGCGACCCTTGAGGACGGGCTTGGGGAAGGACCGTCTGCGGAGTCTTTCCGCGGGACAGTCGCGCTTGAAGTGGCCCATCTTCCCACAGCCGATGCAGCGGATGTCACGCTGTTCGGCGGACCCGAGTTCCATGGGAACTGGTCCGTTGGGGCTTGTTCGACCGGGAGCCGACAAGGAACTCCCAGGCCACGCTGAGGCCGGCGTACGCGCCTGGCGATGACTGTATTCTTCTTGAAGAGCCACTTGAATCGCCTCTTCAAGGGTGCTTGCCTGCACCCGGAACAGCTGAGTGCGTGCGGGGCCCACTCGAAGGCCGTCCATGAACACAGTCATCTTGATGTGTTCATTGAGTGGGTTTCCCACTAGGGACGCCGTGAGCTCCCGTATCTCTTGCACATACTCGTGCAGTTCGCGTCTTCCTTGTTTACACGCGAAGAAGCGCGAACGCTGGCGGTACTCGTAGTTCGCCGGGAGGAACGCGGCTCGGAGCTGTTCGCACAGCTGAGCCCAGGATGTGAAACATCCAGGGGATGTCGCTTCCCGAGTGTACACCCAACTCTTAGCACGACCGCTAAGGTTGGAGAGTGCAAAAGCAACACGCAGTTGCTCGGTCGAGATCAGAGCCGCGTCCATCGCGAGCTCTACTTCTCGGACCCAGAAGTGAAGGTTCTCGCCTTCCTTCCCTTCATACGGCTTTACCTTCAGCCGTATTGGCTTCGGGTGAGGCGGGTTTGCTTCCGCCGCCGGAGCCTGCAGGTTCTCCCGCACATGCGCGATGAGGCCCTGCTCGTACGCGTCGAATGCATTGACGCGCTCGAGCTGCTCAGCCGGTGTTGATACCACCAGGCTCTACAGGGCCTCCATCCCGAAGATGCCTGCCATCTTCCGAACCGACTCGAACTGAGAGTCGTTCATATGGGAGAAGTCGTTCCTATCCATGGCAACGAACTTCGGAGGTTCAGGTAGTCTACCCGCGATGGCGTGGATTGACTACAAGTGCTACCAAGTGTGACGGGGTCACACAGCACCTTGCGCTAGGGGAAGTTATCTTCCGAGAGTATACAAACTCTCAGTGAACGGCAGTTCACAGGTCCCCTCTTTAGTTAAAGAGAGCGAAGTGACCTAAATAAGGTAGATTGTAAACTGAGTATATTTATAGGTAGGTTAAGTTTGTGGTTAATACAAACTATCAGTTACCTATAGAAATGCAATGTCATTTAACCAATGGATGACCTTGGTACCTTGTACCAAATATCCCGGAGTATGACATGTCATACTCCTGAAGTGTGAAGTGTCACACTTCATGTAACCAGGGTACACTTAGTGCTACGTACCCCGTTACACTCCTTGTGTCGATGTGGTCTGTTGCGTTGCTATAAGAGCTGTTGTCTTGTCGTTGACGAGTTGCAGTAACGCCGTTCGTCGCGGAGTCGGACGTGGAAACGCCAGCGACAAAAACAACAACAATCTTTCGTATGATCTCGAGGAAACCTGAGTAACACGATATATTGTTATATCTGATACCCACCGGTCATATCAGGTAGGAGAGGTTTTACTGTACGTACTTCCCTCAAAGTGTACTTCGAAGTACATGTATTCAAATTTCCGAATAAGGATCGTATTTACAAGCACCGCGGTCCGCAATGCCAATTATTTACATGAATCGACCAGCTTCAGGCAGTGTCTCCAGCCAGCGCAATACGTGAAACTGATTTTCCTCACGCGCGGTTTCCACAGCAGCCTCAAAGCCAAAACGTCTCCGATCGTGATCGTAAAGCCATTGCAGTAGCTGCAGGTCTCCTTTTGCTGAAGCGTCCACTGTCCTGGGCAGTCTAGAGCGAAGCCGCTTGTGGTCTTTCAAGAACTGCAGCACCTTGACGCAGCGCGATTCCCCCGCCATCGCTGTACAGTACTCACTCCTGTTCTTGTAGAGGAACTTAACCACTTCGACGTGGCCATTTCGCGCAGCCTCGTCCATTGCTGCAGTCGTGCAGCCTTCTTTGCGGTTCACGTGAAGGAACTCCACGACACCCAAAAAGCCGTTAGCTGCCGCACGATCCATCGCAGCAGCAGTGCACTCCGAGTTCTCCACGTGTCCGTGTAGCCAACACACAATAGACAGAGACCCCCCTGCAGCTGCGTCATCTATCGCGTGGGCCGTGAACCGATATCCCTGAAAATGTAGCCATTGGACGAGCTGGAGATCTCCAAACGCTGCAGCTCCGTCCACTCGAATCCGATGACGTTGACGTGTCAGCGATTCAAAGGTCTGTTCCATCCACTCGACAATTTCCTTGTGTCCTCCTGCAGCAGCTCCACGCACAACATGAGCGCGTCGACAATGAACAGGGTATTTGTGATCGTGGAGCCACTGCAGCACATCTAGATGGCCCTGTCTTGCTACTTTGTACAGCTGGTTGGTGTAAATCTCAAATCTAAAGCGTCGGTTATGCATCGCTGCCTCGGCCGCCGCTCGATCGTGTAGCCATTGCAGAATCTGTCGCCGTCCGTGGGTCACGGCAGCTGTCAACGCCGCTTGCATCCACGACGTGTAGGCCACTTCTACCGTCTGCATCACGTACTGGACAATAGCCAAGTGGCCACCTGCAATGGCGTTCTCCAGTGACTGGAACGTCCTGATCTCGTAGTACCGAGATTCATTCAGCCACTTGACGACGTTCAGATGGCCATTCAACGCGGCTCGGTCGAGTCCACGTCTCGTGCATCGATTTCCTACGACACTGTCCAGATACTGGACGACGTCCATGTGATTCTGGGCGACTGCCGCGTCCATGACGTTCCATCCGAAGGCGTATGGGCCTTTCATCTCGCAATACCAGTGCACCAGGTCCAGACGTCCATTGGCTGCGGCGTGGGCGATCGCGTCTTGGCTATCGACGGCTGCGTCGTCCACCATCTTGTTGCTGAATTCGTCGTGGAGATAGTGCAACATTTGCAGATTGCCACTGTACAGCGCCGCTCTCTCGGCGCCGTGGAAATTTCCTTGGGGTAGTATTTGGAGCGTAGCCATCTCACGCCTGTGAAGAAGCCTCGCGCTGCTGCGTTGTTTAGCGCTGTTTCGAACTGGTATTGTTTGTAGCTGCGCTTCAGCTCTGAGGACCAATGGAGCAGCTTCTTCTTCTCCCGCGACGCGGCATGTTCGAACAGCGTTAAGGATTGGCTGTTTAGAGGCTGGTTCTGCGCGGCCACCGCGACGGACAAGACCCTGGACACGTCCAAGAGTGCCTTGATCTGGATGGCTACATGATCAAGGCCTTCGACTTGAGGGTACTCGCGCACTACGACGTCTACGCAGAGGAACATCGGGCGGTAAGAGGAAGTACCATTTGTCATGGGTTTTGGCAGGGTTCCCAGTGGTTTTTTTGTGGGTTGGACTACCCCGGGGTTACCCACCCACCCACCCACCCCTTGACTCCGATGTCTGGTTATGGGTTATTAACTGTGCGGAGTATGATTTATCTCAGGAAAGTAACTATGTATTATTAAAGGCTATTAATTTTTACCAGTAAAACTATTAGATGCTATAGGTTAAAGCGGTAAGGGTAAGAAAAACCCTTTGCCCAACCACCCCACAGCACTCTTCTACCGTCCACTTTTCCGGGTTTCCAGAACCCTGGGTTTTGGTGATGTCTGGCAGAATGAGTGATGATGTTGACATTAAACCTAATTCGCTGTAAACCTGTGATAATCATAAGACCTATCCCTCGGACACTCATTTGAGTACGTAGAGTTTGGGGTTGAGATAGAACGTTTTTATGCAATATCAAAACTGGTATTTTAACCCCTTTGGTTCCCGGAATTTGGCCCCAGTTACGGTACTACTATGTCGTAACTTACGACGTACGTAGTCACTTATTTATTGTAAATTATCCATAGACATGCGCGGGAAGCACTATCAGGTCTCAGCAGGTTTTCTTTTTAATGTCGTAAGCTATACGCCTTTTCAGCACCTTCCAGACATACAATGTCGTCACTGACACCTTCGCCAGATGAAAAAGACACGTACCGTGACACAAAGAATCCAGTCAATGGAAAAAGACGAAGCAAAAATCAACAAAACGTGCATTACGATTTAACAAAAGCCACCACTCATTAAAGATGTCACCTAGTACCTCATCCTACGGCGTGCACAGACAAAATTAGCTCCTGATCGCTTTCATTTCAGTTTTCCTCTCCCTTGTCATCTGCACCCCCATCGTGAAGCTGCAACTCTTGTCAGTTCTTCTACCGCTGCCCAACTGCCTGCCCCGGACGCCGTAGCACAACTTTCTTTCCTAGTGTAGCAGAGATCGGCTGACCACAGTCAAATTCTTCATGCCAGATCGCAAAACAGGTTTTTGCTTTGCCCCCGTAGGTATGCCTAATTTTGTTGCAGACCTAACACTTTGCGTTGTCCACCGAGCACCGCTGGCAGAAGGAAATAGCGAATGACTTCTTTTTCTTGTTTGTCCTTAGAAGCGCGCATACTTTGCACGATCTCTGGCGACGCTTCTGCACACCGTTAACCGTCACCCAATCCTCCGACTGCTCAACTTTATGGGCGAGGCGCACTGGAGCTCGTTTGCGCTTTTGACAATGGGATGGAGGCGTCACCAAAACACTAGCAAAATCTTCAGCCTTCAGCTAAAGCTATTCGATCCGGAGAACATAATACCACTCACCACGTTTCTTCTCATCAGTCCCCGCAAGCCGTACTGTCTCCATGTAAGCGTTTACCAGTACCTGATCCACTAGGCCCAGGAACAGACTCATGAAATACTTCTGGAACTTTGTCGACGCTTGCAATGAGAACTTCTGAAGGCGGAGCTGATCGTGAACCGTCCATCCAGGCTGATAGTCAGTTACCACAGCCGATTATGGCACAGCTATAGGCCGCACACGCTTCACATTTCTCTTGAAGGTAGACATCGACATCACATCACCGACCCCGTGCACAAGTAGTGCAAAGGTTTGCTGTCCCACCAGTGGTACGCTACCGTGGTTGGTACAGCAATACGACGGGAGCAGGTGAATGTGCCACGAGGGGTGCCAACAGACCGTGTCTTGCGAGTCGATGTGACGTTCTTGTCAACGTCAAGCCTGTCCGTCATGATAGTACCCAGCACGTACACACCCGTTCAGAGAATCTCGATAACGAGGAGGACAGAGGCATAAAGGCGATCAATTACGACCAAGTGCCACGCATGGCGACAGTCCGCGTTGAGAACGATCTTCAGGTTCCGGACGACGGCAGCAGCACCCATCTTATGATCAAATGAAACGTCTCCGATGTCACCTGCATTTCGTTTTCCTGTGTGCATTTCGACTCTAGCAGGTTACAACGTAGGATATTAGTAAAGCGTCTCCTCTTCAGTTTGGTCGTCAGCCAACAATCCATACTCTAGTGCATTCGCGACGACCGCATCCTCCCCGACGAACACATCAGAGCCACCTGGAGTCACGTACCTCCACTCAAGTCTTATCCCGACGAGGCGCTTTGCCGTCCAGCCGACACCTCGTAGTTGCCTCCACAGGAGCCAAAAATTGATATCCCTTGCGGCATCATCGACAGCGGCCGTCTTCCCGTGCTTGGTCGATCGGGTGCGCGCCATCCGTCAAACTCGAATGAAACACAAACAGCTCCCAATGTATCCTGTCCTACATGTCACATTCACCGTACCTCCTTCCCGCATCCTACCCCTGCTGGGGTTTTGTGTATTGTTCATTTGGTCTATCACATCTTATACAGCTGCAAACATCTCGAATAAAGTATTTAAAATAGAGTTTTCTAGTGTCGCACCCGCAATGTCGTAACTTACGGCATAGATGATTTTGCTAGGGCGTAAGTTACGACGTCCGGTACCAGGGTATTAAATCGTTTCGAAGCTCTTTTTGCTTTCAATTTCACTTTCAGAAAGCTATCTAGATAGTCCAACCGATAGTTGGTGTCCAACAGAAGCTTCAATTAGAAGCATGGCGACCTTCCTGCCCCGCTCGAGAGGTTATAGCACAATGGGAAGGAGTGGATCTCTAAGGAATACTTCTCAATTATTAGGGTGCCAGGGAAGTAAACCATCAGTCACCAATAGGCAGGCATCTCTAAATTTGGTATTTGCGGGTAGTTCTGGCACTCGCGCCAAATCCAATCTTTCAAAAATGCCAAAAATAGATGGCCCCGGTAAGGGGATCTGAAACTCCTTCTTCCGCCCATTCGCTATTATTGCGCTTCATTTTAGCTCATAGCAGTCGTGGCAAGAGGTTACAGTACCTCGAGCTTGTCTCATGGGCACGAAAAAGTGGGGACAAGTGTCTCCACGCCATATACCGCGATCCAACAAAGTGGATCAAGCTCCAAGCTATCACGTTCCACGCCGTTTTAAGACCGTCACTTATTAGAGTTTGGCCTGAAGATTTCTGAGCGCAATTTTGAAAGTGGGGTTGTTCTTGCTGTCGCTTGCCGGTTCTGTATTTCATTTGGGCGCGAGGAGAAAGTTGGCTCGAAATGTAAACAAACTGCAAGCACGAAGTACTTCAAGCTGCCATTTCGACCAGAACAATACCGGCCGCACCTTACCGGTCAACATTTAAGTAGATGGGAGCACTACCAGCAGCTTTCTACCGATGCCCAGAAAGTTTACTTCGACGAAGTGCAGTCTTTTTGTTCCAGTATTCACTCTTTTGTAAATGAAAACCAAGCACCGATAGTCGTTTGTATCGACCGTGATATTGTGGACAATTTTGTGGGACAGAGTTTACTCGATAAGGAGGAGGACGACTCAGCCTGGATGCGAGCTAAGCGGTCTAACATGGATCTGGATGAATCGGGCTCTCACTACGTGCTGACAATTAAGAATTCCGCTCGATTTCATTTGATTGTTGACTACCTCAGCTTCGGTATGTCATTTCGAATGGCAATTTCGGTCTTGGCAAAACCTAAAACCCACAGGATTGGCATCATTAGGCTCCTGCTCAACCGAACTCCCTTCAAAGTATGCCTGCTTTGTTTGTATAATGAATTTGGACAAAATAAAGCAGATCATTACAAGCTCGTGGACTTTCTCAATCGCTTTGGACATGTCGACACATTTGTCGATATCGTACTTGTATACACGTATTCGAGTCTACTACAACGACAATATCGAACAAAGGACTGGCTACTCGATTTCAAAAGGTGTGCAGAAGTGGCTTCACGCGTGTTTGGTGCGGCGCGCATCAGATAGATTTGGCTCTCCAGAATGCCTTCAAGGCCGCGATGAATGGCCCGTTTTTCGGCTACATGGCGCAAACAATTGCGTATCTACGACGCCAAGGAACTCTGATACGTCAGATGGATCCCACCACTCCTCTTCTTCAGGACAAACGCTGGGAGTCTATGCAACGATGCTGTACTTGGTTTAAGAAACACCGAGTGCCATTGACGGCACATTTGAATGCATAAACACCACCGCCACTTCAGTGGTGGTTGATATTGAGTTTGATTGAGATGTTACCAACCTGGGCAGTAATCACTTTTAGAAGCCTAGAAGGAAGCACAACCCTTGTGACGGAGCAAATGGCTCAGATGAAGAGGTTGTCTAGTGACATGTAGATCATGTTTGGTGTTCGAGCTGTGACGGATGAAGACCACTGTGACCTAGACACCCGACCTACTACATTATCACTGGCTGAGAACGATACATTTGTTTGTGACCAAGCGAAAATATTGGATCTGCTTCAAGACAACGTTTCTTTTGCAATTTAAAATCCTGGATACTATTGGAACGGATACTGCAACTCTATTAGCTTCGGATGTCGCACGTGTAATTGCAAAATCTGGTTGAACGAGTGAATTCAATCGTGCCCGAACGCAACGAGAAAAATGAACCTTTGGAAGGAGCGCTTCCACCAGCTCTTCCTCGGGAGTTTATAAAGTTACAAGGCCGGGATTTATCCGCTTTGATAGTAAAACATCGCGATCGAATGGCTTCGCACTGGACTGACGAAGAAATGGATGTCATTGAGCAAAGCATTTAGCCTTATGCGACCCGTACCGCAGTCATGAACAGTTCCGCCGCAGTATTGACAATGAAGTTGCATTTCATGAGAAAATATGCTCCTTTGAAGGCCTGGAATAATGTCGACGGGAAATTCGCAACGCTAAAACGTTTTGCAGGTGGATTTGGTACAGCGTTTCCTGGTACACCGACCGTAGAAAGTGATTTCTCGATTTTAAAATGGGAGAAGCCACCGTCGAAAAGCAAACTTACAAACGTTTCCTTTGAAGGAGTGTTGCACGCGAAGCAATTCAATCTTCTCAACAGCATTAATGTCTCCTCAGATGGCAAGCCGGGCGTTCAACACACTAAGGGGCTGTT